CTTCGCAGCCCTTTTATTCAGCTCCCTAATCTGCTAATTAGGTTAACGGGGAGATTGTGTGCCAAAACGGGGAGGCCTCTGATGGGCTGAGGTGAAAAGTCGACATTTGAACTACAGATGGCCCCAGTGACATTACACGTAGCGGTGACACAACCAATTCAATTACAGCGACTTTTACAAAATATATGACTTAACCTTTCTTAAGTTTTAACAAACTTCACAGATGCAAAGGCAGTATTAAACCTCTGCTGTCTTCTTAATCTTTATGTTGTAGGCGAGAAACGCTAATCTGATGCATTGGTACTTTTGATCCTGCACCAGATTGCATACAGATGTTTTAAGTGGATCGAGTTCTATAATTTCCTAATTCTTAAGTTAAACTTCACAAATTTAATTAGTTATAAATGTTGTTACAAAAGTAATAAATTAAATCAATTCACTAAAAACAGAAATGAAAAATAGTTAACATTAGCTAGTCAGAAGGTAAGGTGAAGTAGTGAAGCAGCCACTCTACAAATGGCAGGCTAAATATATGTAAGGCTAGAAAAGGTACATCATCAATGATAGTAGCTCAGTTATCTTTAAAGTGTCAAATACTGTACACATATAGAGCCAGTTATTTTCTTGGTTATACATTTTTGAAATTTTTGTTTAAATGAGGTACATATGAACTTTTATTTCTGGAGATATAATATTATTTTCAGCAATTATTGCTCTCGATGTCATCTTTCAGATATGTATCGTGTTGTTCAGTAGAATAATGACGACGTCGAGCATACACAATTGACCTGTTCTCAGTTTATTCCTCTTCATTAATGCGTCACCTGTACCCGTCCGTTAACAGATCTCAATGTTCAAGTAAACCTGTCGTAAACATACATTTAATCTATTTCAAGCTATGACTGTCCTTTACTGGGTAGTTTGACGTAGCCTACACACATGCTTGCTATTGATGAAACTGGTTTAACAGTAATGGAAGTAAATGCATTACACCATTATATCAATAAATGTATGGATCTGGCTGGGTTTGACTATTAAGATGTAAGGTTCTGGCCATTTCTAACCATGTAGATGTAAGGTTCTGGCCGGTTCTAACCATGTAGATGTAAGGTTCTGGCCGGTTATAACCATGTCGATGTAAGGTTCTGGCCGGTTCTAACCATGTAGATGTAAGATTCTGGCCATTTCTAACCATGTAGATGTAAGGTTCTGGCCAGTTCTAACCATGTAGATGTAAGGTTTTGGCCGGTTCTAACCATGTAGATGTAAGGTTCTGGCCGGTTATAACCATGTCGATGTAAGGTTCTGGCCGGTTCTAACCATGTAGATGTAAGGCTCTGGCCGGTTCTAACCATGTAGATGTAAGGTTATGGCCGGTCTAACCATGTAGATGTAAGGTTTTGGCCGGTTCTAACCATGTAGATGTAAGGTTTTGGCCGGTTCTCACCATGTAGATGTAAGGTTCTGGCCGGTTCTAACCATGTAGATGTAAGGTTATGGCCGTTCTAACCATGTAGATGTAAGGTTTTGGCCGGTTCTAACCATGTAGATGTAAGGTTCTGGCCGGTTCTAACCATGTAGCTGTAAGGTTCTGGCCGGTTATAACCATGTAGTGTAAGGTTCTGGCCGGTTCTAACCATGTAGATGTAAGGTTATGGCCGTTCTAACCATGTAGATGTAAGGTTCTGGCCGGTTCTAACCATGTAGGTGTAAGGTTCTGGCCGATTCTAACCATGTAGGTGTAAGGTTCTGGCCGGTTCTAACCATGTAGATGAAAGGTTCTGGCCGGTTCTAACCATGTAGATGTAACGTTCTGGCCGATTCTAACCATGTAGGTGTAAGGTTCTGGCCGGTTCTAACCATGTAGATGAAAGGTTCTGGCCGGTTCTAACCATGTAGATGTACGGTTATGGCCGTTCTAACCATTTAGATGTAAGGTTCTGGCCGGTTCTAACCATGTAGATGTAAGGTTCTGGCCATTTCTTACCATGCATGTAGATGTAAGGTTCTGGCCGATTCTAACCATGTAGGTGTAAGGTTCTGGCCGATTCTAACCATGTAGTGTAAGGTTCTGGCCATTTCTAGCCATGTAGATGTAAGGTTCTGGTCGGTTCTAACCATGTAGATGTAAGGTTCTGGCCGATTCTAACCATGTAGGTGTAAGGTTCTGGCCGGTTCTAACCATGTAGGTGTAAGGTTCTGGTCGATTCTAACCATGTAGATGTAAGGTTCTGGCCGATTCTAACCATGTAGATGTAAGGTTCTGGTCGGTTCTAACCATGTAGTGTAAGGTTCTGGTCGGTTCTAACCATGAAGTTGTAAGTAACCATGTAGATGCAAAGTTTTGGTCGGTTTTGACCATGTAGATGGTTTGCACATAGGGATGTTACACAAAGGTCCAAGTGAAGAGTAAGTGTAATGCGATGTCTATACAATGTAATACAATGTATATATAATGTAATACAATTCAAAACTCAAAAGGAAAAGATGCATTACCATGACCATGAAACTCAGTTATCATATATAAAGTGAGATAACTGGAAATCAAATATCAGGATCCAGTACAGTAATGATGTGTGTGAATCTATGGTAATATTAGTGATGGTTGTGGGTGTTACCAGCCGTACTGTATAGGGAGAAGTCTGGTACCTGTGTGGTGTGGAATTAGGTTAGGTAATAACTGTGCCTATGTCATTGTATAATGTCATTACATGTAGTACTTACACCCCCACTGTTTTAGTTAAATAGACCTCTGTTTCCTGTAGGACTCTAGGGTAATCAAGGGTTTCTCTAGCCAGGAAATAAAAAACAAAAAATGTCATTCAATTTAATTCTACCTTGTCTCACTGGGATAGGGTAATTGAATTAATTGTTTGATTTGTCAACACTGTTAAAAAAGTCACTTCCACCTACAATACTCGATGGTAAAAGAAGGTTTAGTACTACGTCTTGTTAAGGATGCCCGTATCACTGCCAAAAAGTTTTATTTTGCATTGGAAACTGATTTTTAGCTCACCTGGTCCGTCGTCCGTCCGTCGTCGGTCAACTTTTCCTTTAAAACCCTACTAGTCCTGAACGGCCCTGTAGATTTTGACTAAATTTGGTCTGGAGTATCCTTAGGCCAAAGGGACTCAATTTTGTATAAACGGTGGGCGTGGCCCCCTGGGGGCAGGGGGTGGGGCCCAATAGGGGAAATAGGGGTAAAACCTTGAAAATCCTTCTTCTACCGTAGGGATTAAGGGATTTTATCCTAATTTAGTCTGGAGCATCCTTGGGCCAAGGGGACTAAATTTTGTATAAACGGTGGGCGTGGCCCCCTGGGGGCAGGGGGCGGGGCCCAATAGGGGAAATAGGGGTAAAACCTTGAAAATCCTTCTTCTACCGTAGGGATTAAGGGATTTTATCCTAATTTAGTCTGGAGCATCCTTGGGCCAAGGGGACTAAATTGTGTATAAATGGTGGGTGTGGCCCCCCCTGGGGGCTAAAGGGGAGGGGCCCAATAGGGGAAACATAGCAAATTCTTTAAAATCCTTCTTCTTCTGTAGGAATGCAAGGATTTGTTTCATATTTGGTTTGGGGCATCCTTGGGTGAAGGGGAACCAATTTTGTATAAACCATGGGTCTGGCCCCCCAGGGGCCTGAGGGGTGGGGTCCAATATGGGAAACATAGCAAATTATACTTTAATATCCTTCTTCTGTAGGAATGAAAGGATTTGGTCCATATTTGGTGTGGAGCATCCTTGGGTAAAGGGGCACCAATTTTGTATAAAAGGTGGGTGTGGCCCCCTGGGACCTGAGGGGCGGGGCCCAATATGGGAAATAGAAGTCAAACCTTTCTAATCCTTCTTCTACCATATGGATTTTATCCTAATTTAGTCTGAAGCATCCTTGGACAAAAGGGACTCAATTTTGTACAAACAGCGAGTGTGCCCCCCTGGGGGCAGAAGGGAGGGGCCCAATAGGGGAAACATAGCAAATTCTTCAAATACCTTCTTCTTCTGTACGAATGACAGGATTTTGTCCAAATTTGGTATGAAGCATCATTGGGTGAAGGGGAATCAATTTTGTATAAACGGTGTGTCTAACCCCCCTGGGGGCAGAGAGGCGGGGGCCAATAGGGGGAATAGAGGGAAAACCTTTAAAATCCTTCTTCTACCATAGGGATTAAGGGATTTTATCCCAATTTAGTCTGGAGCATCCTTGGGTCAAGGGGTCTCAATTTTGTATAATTGGTGGGTATGATCCCCGCTAGGGGCATAGGGTTGGGGCTCTGTTTGAAGTTTGTTCTCGCTATATCTCAAGTACTGGATGGATCTTTCTGAAATTTCATATGTACTTACAGCACCTAGCTACCATGGAGTGCTATATCTTTACTTCATACCAATTATTTTTAACATATTCAGGTGAGTGATACAGGCCCTTTGGGCCTCTTGTTCCAGTTAATGACTTTATCTTTGATAAATCATTTCTGAAAAGAAAATCATATCTTGCATGACTTATATAAAATTTAGAGATGAAATATACAAAATCTTACCAACAACTATGTTCTTAGTGTAAAGACAATACGGTCCTGCCCAGACCTTGGACCTCAATTTACTGCTGCTCTAGCAAACTCAGCTACTTGGTCGTCAGCCCTGATCCACATGCGCTTCGTTATGTTTAAAATACAAAAGCTACAGTGGAACTCTCTAGTGTTTTGCCTGTCATGTGACAAGCATCCTTAACCTGAACGTATATGTATCTGCAATGTTGTACGACTTGTATTTGTAATCTCATGTTAAACAATATTTGTACCTGTATGATCTTTGGGCTCGCATCACAATATTTTGTAAGTTTACATGGCCATATAAAAAAGTTGCTAACAATTGTGGACTAGATGTAAGACTTTTTCCCTATGTAATAGAGTAGAATCAGTGTGAATCAAATTCACAACCTGATATGACAATATGTGTGAGTACTTGTACTGATGAAACTTAAAACAACTATTGTTTTACTTTTAGGTAGAGCAAGATGAGTGTAAAAGAGGGTGGGACATCGTCAGGAGGTATATCTCGAACTGGGGTGTCGTCTGTGAGCGTGTCTCGCGCTGGAATCACTCACTGGTTTACTTCAGAAATACAGCAGATGATGTAAGTACAGCCAATTTGTGTCTGTAAGATACCTGTACATTAATGTACATTCATACACCTGTAAGTTACCTGTCTCCTACACCCATACATACACCTGTAAGTTACCTGTCTCCTACACCCATACACCTGTAAATTACCTGTCTCCTTACTGTACGTATCCTGTTACAATGTTAACTTATAATGCTCTTTCTCCTTCTAGCACATCTTGTACAGTTGCTATCTAATTCCATATCCTCCCCAATTAACATAAATACCTGTGATTCCTGTACAACTGTTACCATTATCACCAAGCCTCGTCCCTTCCATCGTGAATGTTTCTTTTCCCCAATAGTTAATAATGCTCCCCTACTTTTAATTAGCTTTGTGGTGGACAGTGTTGAAACATTCAAATCAGTAGAAGAATAAAAGGATGCTCTAATTAGTCTTTGTCATTTTATAGTCGTGGCATGCTGAAGGTAGAATTGTGAAAAATGAACTAAAATATAGTTTTCTTTAAAGTCCTAAAATGCTTTGTCAAAATAAGCAATCTTTATGAAATTATGATTAAAAAGGCATATCCTTATGTTGGGTTGTAGTGAGTATTACATTATGTGTTATAGCGAAACAATATGTAAGTAACAACGATTCTGATTATTATAATAGATACTAATATGTCTAGATAGCTCAGCATGCCAAACCACCACATTAATTCTATATTTGTTATTAGGACAACTGTGTTACTTTGATTCCAATTTAGACCTAATGTCATGCTCGGCTGGGTTTATTCCTGTGCTTCCTCATGCATGAAGCAAAAGCATATGAGAACATTCAGAGCCGGACAAATTCTATTTACGATTTGGACAAATGATTTCTCACCTAGTGCACCCTATCAATGGGAGCACGCTGTCCTATGTCAATAAAAGGCCAGTTTTAACGGGACATCACCACCTTGGGGTCAGAGGTCAGTGGTGTTTGTTTAAGTTACTGAAGCAGATGGTCCGCTTGATGTTAATAAAGACGGCTAATAAAACAGAATTGTCATTGCCGTTCTCTCCTTCAGTGGCTGAAGAGTTCCGCCAAAGATTGATTGAGTACCAAAAAAGTTGATTTAAAAATGTGGAATAGCCTTTTGTAGCCTTTTGTGGGTAATTTAAACAGAGCCAGGAGATTTCAGAGAAAAAAAGGTCCGAAGGAAGAATGGGTCTATTGAATAGTGAAAGCCTTGGTCTGACCTCAGGAACACTGGAGTAATTAATTTATTCATGACCTTCTCATAAAGTCATCAATTTACCCAGAACAAAGTAAGTGAAGCTGAAAATGTAGCAATATTTATACAGTGTGTTTTAACTGTATGACAATAGAGTTCCCACCTGCCAGAGAGATGCTTAGTGTGTCCCTAGGTCCTATACACTACCCTACTCGTATACATCACACACATATAGGACCTGCACACATTGGTCATTATGCATATAATGGATTTTTTTACGATTCTTATTATATATATGTTCAGAGTTGATTTTATTTGGAAATAGATGGTTAAGGTTTTTCTGTACCAGAGAACAACAATAAATTGGCCATATATTTATAGTACAGTGTTATTCCTTCATGATTTGAGAAATAAAACCAAGACATATTTTGTTGAAGATATTCCTCATTTTCCCTTCATTTGGGAAAATAAGGCACTTATTTGGAGAGGGAAGGGGAAACGTCCTGTATTCTGCTGTAAAACAGGCAAAATAAATCAATGTATTATTTTCCATTCAGCAGGTACTCACTTGAACAACAAGGTCTATACAATTAGCATACACAATCTGAAACATTATATGATATCAATCAGAAAGTTACTAAAGTCTGGCCCTATCAAAAAGCCTTCAGGGTGTTACAATAAAAATAATACAGTTAAAAATAATAAACAATGCATTGTTTTCCTTCAAATACTTATAGATTTTTTTTCATTGAAATAACATTAAAACTAAAAATAGTGATGTAATGAGTGTATGAAGATGTTGTTTATAAGTGGAGCCTGAAGTGTACTGGTATAGCTATAAACATGCTGTTTTGATGCCAAATAAACCTGTTATGTAACACATACAATTGGCTGGTGTGTTTATGTTTTGGCCAGCCTCCTGCCAAGGGTTCAGTCAGTACAGATCTGCCACTGTAGACTGATGAACTAAGTCACTGGTGTATCATGTGGGGATACGCTGTGATGTCACCGGTGTACTGTTGGGATACACTGTGATGTCACCAGTGTACTGTGGGGATACACTGTGATGTCACCAATGTACTGTGGGGATACATTGGGATGTCACCAGTGTACTATGGGGATACACTGTGATGTCACCAGTGTAATGTGGGGGATAAACTGTGATGTCACCAGTGTAATGTGGGGGATACACTGTGATGTCACCAGTGTACTGTGGGGATACACTGTGATGTCACCAGTGTACTGTGGAGATACACTGTGATGTCACCAGTGTACTTGGGGGATGCACTGTGATGTCACCAGTGTACTTTGGGGATATACTGTGATGTCACCAGTGTACTGTGGGGATACACTGTGATGTCACTGGTGTACTTTGGGGATACACTGTGATGTCACCAGTGTACTGTGGGGATACACTGTGAGGTCACCAGTGTACTGTGGGGATACACTGTGATGTCACCAGTGTACTGTGGGGATACACTGTGAGGTCACCAGTGTACTTGGGGATACACTGTGATGTCACCAGTGTACTGTGGGGATACACTGTGAGGTCACCAGTGTACTGTAGGGATACACTGTGATGTCACCAGTGTACTGTGGGGATACACTGTGATGTCACAAGTGTACTGTGGGGATACACTCTGAGGTCACAAGTGTATTGTAGGGATACACTGTGATGTCATCAGTGTACTGTGGGGATACATTGTGATGTCCTCAGTGTACTGTGGGGATACACTGTGATGTCACCAGTGTAATGTAGGGATACACTGTGATGTCACCAGTGTACTGTGGGGATATACTGTGATGTCATCAGTGTACTGTGGGGATACACTGTGATGTCACCAGTGTACTTTGGGGATACACTGATGTCACCAGTGTACTTGGGGGATATACTGTGATGTCACCAGTGTACTTTGGGGATATACTGTGATGTCACCAGTGTACTGTGGGGATATACTGTGAGGTCACCAGTGTACTGTGGGGATACACTTTGATGTCACCAGTGTACTGTGGGGATACACTGTGATGTCACCAGTGTACTTGGGGGATATACTGTGATGTCACCAGTGTATTGTGGGGATATACTGTGATGTCACCAGTGTACTGTGGGGATATACTGTGAGGTCACCAGTGTACTGTGGGGATACACTGTGATGTCACTGGTGTACTTGGGGGATATACTGTGATGTCACCAGTGTACTGTGGGGATACACTGTGAGGTCACCAGTGTACTTGGGGATACACTGTGATGTCACCAGTGTACTGTGGGGATACACTGTGAGGTCACCAGTGTACTGTAGGGATACACTGTGATGTCACCAGTGTACTGTGGGGATACACTGTGATGTCACAAGTGTACTGTGGGGATACACTCTGAGGTCACAAGTGTATTGTAGGGATACACTGTGATGTCATCAGTGTACTGTGGGGATACATTGTGATGTCACCAGTGTACTGTGGGGATACACTGTGATGTCACCAGTGTACTGTTGGGATATACTGAGGTCATATGTGTATTACATGTAGACAAAATTGTATAGTTGTGAAGTTACTTTCCTAGTGTTGCCCACTACAGTGTATAATGTCTAACCAAAGCCAGTTATATGATACAGGCTATAAAATATGTACTCCCAAGTTATAGAGTATAGTGCGTTCTGGTAAACTGAGTTCTGTCCGAAGTCACCTGAGGCAGTGACGTGAAGTATTTTTTTGTGTATTTTGACTGTAAACATGCTGTGTGCTTGGAGCATGTTTGTTAGGAGTGTTTGATTCTAGATAAGGAGTTTTAGCCCTGTCACTCCGTACCTTTTGTGTGTTTGTGCTGTGATTGGTTTCTGTGCCAAAAATGTTACTTATTCCATGAGAAAAAACTTTATTGGTAATCCATGGTATTTTATTAAGCCTTTTGCTATATATACATGCTAATCAAGCTTTACTTGGTGTAAGTTCCCTGGCAGTAGTAGGCTAAATTAGTAGCCCGTGATCACCGGAGGTGTGGCCTCCAAATGTAGCTTGGTCAGTCCTGTAAAACCCATCTTGTGTATAGGATAGCACATGATCAGTACAGGTTACGTATGAACATGTTAACAAACCTACTGTATGGCTATTTCAAATGTTTAGAATTTTCTGTCTGCATAAAGGGGTTAGCGTTACCAGATAGGTATTTGTGGTGATGAGCCATCTTCCCTCCGCGTGGTCCCAGGTTTGCACTATTCAGTGTTTTGTAGGAATTCAATATGGACCAGAAAAACAACTTTGAGCACATTTTTATGTGGAATTTGGACATTTTGGTGTTGTGCCAGTTAAAGGACGGTTTTGATCCTTTCTGATGAAAGTTTTCTGTCTTGTGGCCATGGTTTTGTCAGGAGGTGTGATGATTGTAGGTTAAACAGCAGATATTCTACTTTCATGCTGACATGGAATCATTTTGATGCAATGTATTGATAAATCTTCACAATGTAAGGTTCAAGGAGTTGTTTCCCTTTCCTTACGATTTGCAAAAACTTGCTTTGGTTTGTAATTTGATCACTCAATGCTTGTAATGATTTCTCCAGATAAAATTGATTTTAAAATTATACATTTGCATAAATGTGTTGGTTTGCAAAGCTACTGAAAATGACAGATGTTCTGTTGAAACCAGAAAAATAGTGAAGATTTGTTATTAAAATTTGCCAGAATATCGTGCATTATATAAGACCACAGCAAAATATATGTTTGTTTTCTGCTACCCAATAAACTGTATGTTTGAATTACTGACAATTATACATGGTTTTATTAGCTCACCTGGCCCGAAGGGCCAAGTGAGCTGATCCCA